ACAAGCTGGCCCTGTGCCTAAGAATGTGCTGGCCCCACGCCTTCTGTCGCCCACTCACCTGCCTTCGGATCTTAGGGGTTTCCAGGTACACAGATGAGGGGCCATTTCCAGATTAGTTCCCAGGAGTGAACGCGGGGAACGTGAGGGCTCAAGATGTACCTTCTGGGGGAAGCTCCTGGGGTCATAGGCCCTTGGGTGGCTCATCCAATTGGCGCCTGGGTTAAGGAGGCTTCCCGGGCACCCTCCAAAACTGCTGCTCTACCTGGGGAACCTGCCCCAGCACAGCCAGGTGAAAGGGCACAGCTCTGGCTTTGTGTTCTGGCTCTACCACCTCCTGGCTTAGTGATCTCAGCCAAGTGGCTTTGTCTTTGGGACTCTCATCAGTGAAAGGGGCACACACAGCCTCTCCATGAGAGTGCGGTGAGAAGGAAATAGAATACCACAGGCAAACAGCAAGCCACAGAAATGCCTGGCACCCCCTTCCCTGGCAACTGGGCCCACACCAGTGTTTCTGTAAGAAATAAAACCGACACAAGAAACAATGCATGCTCCATTCCTTGTCCCCTTGATTGCGCCTTAAACACCTACCTGACAGGTGAGGTGCTGGGTTGCTGTGAGGCAGGTGGGAGGCCTGCCTGCAGCTCACCCACCAGCTCACCGTGGATTGCAGACTGACAGGAGCTTCACGCATTATGCACAGTCCCCTTTGACAGAGAGGGACACTCCAGTTTCTCGCAAAGCCCCATTTCTGCCAAGCTTACAGTGCTCTGGGGAAAAGGGAGCCCTACTTGTCCCTGTACTTGAAGAAAGTGGTGCCTGCTGATAGGCAGCCAAGCCCCCAGATATCACCAGACCCTGGCCCTGGGGTCAGGGACCTCAGTGCACCCCAACCTGACCCACAAGGGCAGGGGACACGTAAGGCCCAGGACAGGTGTCCAACTCCTCATGAGCACTGCCACCTGGGGAGACTGGCAGGGGAATGGACTCAGCTGGGATACAGCCCAAGGTCTTCCTGCCCCAGCACCAGCAGGATTGGGACCCAGGGGAGATGCCTGGGCAGCTCCCCATGCAGGAGGGTCAGTCCTGGGCTGAGGAAGTTAGAGGGCTTGGCCACCATTTTTGCCTGCTCCCTCCTGGTGGCAACTCCCCTCCCAGAGCTTGAGTCTCTATTTTGAACTGGTTAATATGTCCTTGGCAAAGTTACTTAACTTTTTTGAGCCTCAGGTGCTTCATCTGTAAGATGGGGCAACATTTCCTAAGTCCCAGGGTTGTGGTGAGGGTTAAGGGTCTGTGGCTAGAAAGAGCCTGGGGCAGAGGGCACACAGTGGGCAGGCAACAGATTTTAACACAAGCAGCACCATTGATAGCACTCCAGGCCTGTGCACAGCACTTTAATACAGCTTCCCAGTTAGCTGCCATAACCCTAAGTGGGAGGCATGGACTTAACTTCACTTTATTGGTGAGAAAACAAGCCCAGAGAGGTCATGTAGTTGACCTAAAATCACACAGCCAGGAAAAGGTTGAGCTAGGATTTGAACCCAAGTCCTGTTTCTGCCAGGCTTAGAGTGTTCTGTGCTCTGGTGAGAAGGGAGCCCTATCTGGCCTTGTACTTGAAGAAGGTGGTCCAGGCCAGAAGAAAGACATAGGATCACAGTCAGGCAAGTCTCGGGTCTGCCGGCCACTAGCTAGTCTTGGGCAGTTGATGATTAACTGCCATGCCAAGCTCCGAGGTGAATAATAAGAGCAGCTTCAACACAAACAGTACACAGCAACATATGTAAACATCAACAAAGCACTTCGAATATACTTCCCCATTAGTTTGGTTACAGGCTGGGTTGCAAGGTCAGCAGTTGGAATCTACCAGCTGCTCCACAAGAGAAAGATAAGGCTGTCTGTTCCCCTGGAGATTCACAGACTCGGAAACCCACAGGGCAGTTCAACCCTGTCCACTGGGGTCCCTGGGAGTCAGAACGGGCTGGGTGGCCATGAGTGAGTGAGTGAGTGAGTGAGTGAGTGAGTGAGTGAAGGAGGTGGCCTGGTTCCCATCTGGAATGGACTCAAGATCACACAGCTCAGTAAGAGGCTGAGCCAGGATTTCATTCAGGTCTTTGTGGCTCTGAAGCAAGCCTTGTTCAATTACCTGGGCTGTTTCTTTGTTTCTGTTTCTGCCGAGGGTCCCCAGTGGGGCCCCCAGTGGGCCTTTGAATGCGGGGGAAGGACCATCTCTGAGCTCTGTGAGACACACTTGCTCTTTAAGCTTCTGGTTCTGAAACGAAGGTGGTGTCCTCGTTCAAAGAGGTCTCTGGCGGCACACAGCAGGCACAGAGAGCGCTCAGGATGGGCTTCGTGTTCCTAACAGATTCGGTCAGCCCACTCCCATCTGACACCATCCAGGGGACATGTAGGAGGCCGCCGCAGCTTCGGCTGCTGTCAAGGACTCCTGCCTGGGTCAGTGTCACCGGAGCTGGAGTGGGAAAGCAAGGAAAGGTCTCCTTAACCTGCTTTGTTTATTGCCGCCGGTCCGCTAAGAGACACAACTGCATTAAACTCAGAATTGCCAAATTCTCAGCTTTCCCGACCTCATAGGAGGGATTGAGTCCCTTTGCGATAGATTTGTCCCCTTTAAGGACCATCTTCTGTTTCATCTACATTTGAGTATCTCGAAGGCTGTTTTGAAAACGCGATGCAACAAGTGCTTGTCAAATACATGTTATGCCTTTTTGTGAGTCCAGCCTCTCCCAGCATTGTCGGTCCCATGATGGGGCAGGGGCCAGCAGGCGAGGGAGGGGATGAAGGTCTCAGTGGGCCAGGGGTTCCAGGACTTCTGCATGTCATAGCCTGGGACCGTCAGTGCCCAGGGATTCTACTCAAGACCTCGGTATGTTACAGCCTGGGACCGTCAGTGCCCAGGGGTTCCAGTCAGGACCACTACATG